CATCAGGGAAAATGACTTGTACTCGGAGCATTTACTCCGTGAGTCTGAGAAGTTTGTGGCTCTGTTATACCGCGCGTTATCTTGAAAACACGCTTCGAAACAGCTTTAATCATAAGTTACCTGAAGTGTAGGACGCTACGAGGTAGGAAGTGGCGGACTACACAAAAACGCTGCTAACTGTTTATTATTATTATAATTATTACTGTTGCTTTAACAACCTTATGGAGCCATTTAATTTAGAGAAGGGTTTGAGTCAAGTTGTAAAATTTTGGGACTGTGAGATTAACCTTTGTTTTGCTTATTATTATTATCATTATTATTATTATTATTATTATTATTATTATTATTATTATTATTATGTGTTTTGTTTTTGTTTAGCAGTTTTCTTTTTTCATGTTTCGCAAAATTGAACAGATACTTGTAATTAACACGGGGCGGGTTAAGAAACGGTTTTGCATTATGTCTTATTTCTTGGTTCTGTTCTCATGATAATACGTTTCACTGTGTCTGCCTCTAAGAATTGTGTTTGCGACTAAATTTTATATTATGGCTGCTTTACCAGGCTTTTTGGAGTCCCTCTGACTCAGCTGTGTACCGAGGAAGAGCCTGTACCAAAAGCAGTGAAGGATTTGTTGTTACATTTGTTTCGGTATGGACCGGGTACCACAGGAATCTTCAGAAAATCGGCAAATGCCAGGATTGCTAGAGAAATTAAACTGGATCTGGACGAAGGTGAAAACTGATTCTTAACGTTTTTTGGGATCTCTTAAAACTATTGATTGACTTCAACTTGTGAGTTATGTTATCGTGCTTAAATCTCTCATCAAAATATTTTCTTATATCCCTTGGAACATATTCAATATATTCTCTTTTAACTTGCCACCGCCGGTCGACGACGGGCTTTTAACGCGCAGTGGTTGAGTGTGTAACTCTGAAAATGTTGTGACAAGCATCCGATGGGGGCTGTTCCCCAATAGGGGGGCCATAAGAAGTGTGCAAACAAAGACCCAATGAAATAGCTCCATTGAGGAGGTGTAGATATCTGTACAGCGGTGTTACTTTGGAAGATAGCCGATAATTTTTTAATCCGTTGTAAATGTGATCTTTTACCTCCATTAGGTAAATTGGTAGATTTTGAAGACGTATCAGAAGTCGTTACCGCCTCTGTCATGAAGGTATGGGCTGTTTGCTTTATTGCATCCAAAATGTTTTATATTTTTGTTTGGTTAGGTTGTGTCAGCTCTTTGGACAAAATTGTTGTCATCGTTGTTTCTAGTACTGACACTCGAAGAGTTATTTTTTTCCATTGATGACCATACACGTATCCTTTAGCCTAGAGGCCATGATAAGTACATGGTTTCATAGTACTAGTGAATAAGTTGGACTATATTGTATGGAAGTTAGTGTGAAAACACCCCCTTGTCTTATTTACAGGAATTTCTTCGCCGTTTGCCAGACTGTATTTTTGAAAGTGAAAATTACGAAGATTTAGTGGCCACAAACAACGTCGAAGATCAGGATGAAAGAGCGAGACAAATAAAGGGGTAAGAAAAATATCATTTGATGTCTCAATCTTGTGATTCATCGGCTTGAAAGTAAACTGGGTATATCACCGTAAAAGTGTGTTAAACCTGATTTTGAAATTACTTTCTGGTGTTTTTTGGAAGTTAGGAATAACTTTTGCAATCTTCGTATGTTGCGATATAGTGCAAGAAACTAGAGTTTCTTCACCACGTTAAGAAGTTCGATGATCGTTGTAATTTTTAGTTGTATTGGCTTGGATTTGCCACATTCTGTGATTGGTGTAGTACTGACTACTCTTTGCTATTATTGGCTGTCTTTGATATTTTCTTCCTTCTTATTGACTGTTTTGGTGTCTATGGTTGCCATCTCGACACTTAATGCGCTCTCTTAGTTTGTGTTGGCTTCAATGCGGTTAATTACAGCTCTTTTTTTTTTTTTCAGGATTTTGGATGGAATCAACCGTTTCAATTATGAACTACTGAAATCATTTGTGTGTGTGTTATATCACATTGCTGACAATGCGGAGACCAATAACATGAACGCTTATAACCTGGCCGTGTGTGTGGCTCCTAGCATGCTTTGGGCGCCAAAAGGCTCCAGCATTCCCGCCACGGAACAATCAAAATCAGTGCCGCCGGTGATTCAGTTTATTATTGAACACTGTGTGGCTATCATGGGAGATAAAGTAAGGACTATTCTTGGCGATCGTAGCGAGATCGTTACGACTAATCATGTGACCAGTGACTCGGAGGGTAGTACCCAGGACTCACGGACTGCTTTGAGCCAGTCCTCTACGGATGACGGGATAGAATCACCGGAACCTTTGAGTCCCAAAGGAGAAAGGAACTCTATTCACTTAAGTGATTCGAACTTGTATGTAACAAGCACGCTCGCAGTTCACCCAACGAACAAGAGTGTCAGTACACCCAGCTCTCCTTGCGATTCAGGGATTCCTTCGCCGAGTTCATCGCCGCCTCTCAAGAGGCACGACGTGGAATTTTCGAATAAACTCAGTGCCGCTTTTTATGAACCTAATAAAACCAAAGGACATGCAGCGATCGGTCGAAGAAGTTCGGAGCCGCTCGGGTTACCTCCGGATTCTATGAAATTACGACTGAAAAGCAGTCGGAAATACCCGAGCTCTAAAAGACAACTGAGTAGTACAACGACAAGCGCCGAACTTATTGAACATAAACAAGCTCAAAAGACAACGGCTAGTGGCCGGAAACTAGAGACTGCTGTGCTTCGCCGGGCACATTCGCCTCAAACTGTGCGACTGTTTCCCGTCACGCAAAATGTAACGCAATACCAGCGTCTTCATCCCATATCAAGTTACCCATCGTCTTTGTCACGGGCTATGGAAGCTAAACATTCCGTACAAACGCAAGGTCTTAGTACGGACAGTCTTGATAGCAACTCGACATCTCCTGTGCCACCCAGTTCTCCTGTGTCTAAACAATCGCCTGGAGGGCCTCGTTCTCCGTCTCCAAACCCCGATCAAGTTTTCCAAGCTGTAGATCGTCGGAGACAACCTGCAGCGCCGTCGTATAAGGAACATATGCAGCGGAGGAGGGAATTGAATTCAAAACCTGCCTTTTTTCAGGGTGCAGAAGGAAAGGAGGGTAAGGATGTGGATTCTAGCAAGGACCATGTTTCTCCCAGGGAAGCAAAGGCATTCTTTGAAGCTAAAGAGCAACAGCCCCGATTCCCTGGGAGATCGGGCTTCTTCAGTAACGATAGATTGGATTCGGAAAGGAGCGAAACTTCTTCGACACCTAAAACGCCAATGTCGCCAACGAGTCAGAATGATAATCTATGGGAGCAAGTGGAGGAGTTGAACGCCAGCTCATTCGCTGGTGCCGGAATTCGCAAACTGGAACATTCACCATTTGGACTTAACCTTCATCAGAAACGAAACGCAAGCGAAGGTTCATATAAAAAGCAGCCCGCTGAAAACGTTCGAAAAACTATCGGCCTATCGTCAAGTCTTGGCTCTGGCCAATTAAAATCAGCGCTTGGTTCTGTTTCATCTACTGGTACAGCTTCCCTGCCCCATAACTCTTCTCTTACTCACTTCCCACACTCCGACTTCTTTCCTCACGAAGCTCAAACAAAAACGCATTGGGCGCCTTCGGTTGATGCTCGAGGAACTTCGGCAGTTCCCAGTTCGCCTGGCTCTTTTCGAATTCGGAGAGGCAGCGCAACCTCGTCTTCGTCGTCGGTGTCTAGCTTGGACGAACGATCGAGTATCGGTGCTGATTCAACGTTTTCCGAAGGCAGAACAGACGTGACACAGATTCGGGATATCAGGGAACTTCTTAGCGAGAATGCGCAAGCGAACGGGCTCAAGATCAGCCCCCAGACAGCGCAAGTGATCGCTAAAGTGCGCACACCGTACGCGCAGAGCGGAGCCTATCCTGCTCCTTCTCACGACGATATCGAAAACATTCTGTTCACAGAAGAATCATACGTCTAAGCTTGAGCTTTACGTAGTGTAAAAAGGAAACTCTGCAAAGTAATTAGCTGTAATTAATAATGATTTAAGAGGGTATGTCCCTTCCCAGTTAAGGCAGCATTTTATTTTCATAAGCCGCACAATTAAAAAATTGGAAAGGTGTATTTTAAGGTGTTGAAAACATTCTCCTAGTCTGGTAAGGGATGGAATGGTAAGGAAATAATCAGCCGTCCTGTTACGATGCCTGCTCTCTTGCATTCGTGTTTTTATGTTTGTCTGTTTACTTTTTGCGTTTTCGCCATTCGCTCGCTACTCGCCCTGCTATGTATCTTCTGGTGTTGCTGATCACGTATTCTTTCTCAGCGTTGTCTATGTTACTTTCCCTCCTGGAAAATATAATCACCTTGTGCGTGCTCTCACTCCTTGGACGCATTTCCGAAGACGTTTTCTTAGTTTTCCAGGCGATAAGGTCGACTGCTTTGGTGCCACCTTATGAAGCATGATGCTCCGCAACTGCGGTGAATACCAAGTTCTGATCCTCGCTGTCGAAACCCAATCAATCTTAGCCGAGTATCAAGCTTCCTTAAGGGCTGTGGACGGCCTTGTCGCCATATAATTCGATGTTTATCAACTGACTTGGTAGTGTAAATTGGCCACCATAAAGAGTTTCAAAGCTAACATCTCGAGCGTTAACCCTTCGCTCTCACGAAGAAACATCAGCTTTGAACTCTTACGATGGCCAATTTACACTATCAACTCAGTTGATAAAACCAAATTACCTTGTTACTCCCATCGACGCAGCACCAGTTTCTTTAAAAACTTACCTCCTCTATTCATTACTCACCATATACTTTGCCCTAGTTCCCCAGTGACCACATCACCCTTTCAACTCTCCACAAACTGTAGCATCCTGAAGTTTGAATTTTGAGTCCAGTTGAGTGACAAGCTTGTCTAAAGCTACCCGGGCATCGCGCGCACGATATGATAAGTTTACAAACTGACTAAAACAAAGCTGTACGAATGACTTGGACGTGTTTTACCGACTTTATTAAAAGAAAACTCGCTGTAAGTCTGTGACTCGAACGATTGATGAGGAACAACGAGGTCAACCATCACAAACGAAACGTCACATACTGTCATCGTTCCTGATGTTCGCACGGTCCTGTTGTTCTTTTTAAGCGTCCACATTTTCGGAGACGGAATTAGATCAAAAGCACTGCTTATAAAAAATTTCATCTTAAACACTTTGGTTGCTTTGCAACACCGACGAAAAGTAAAGGTACATTCAAATTAAAAACACAGGGTCACCGTTAAAAGGATCAGTGGTTTTATCTCGAGTTAAATGAAAAACGTGAAAGCAAAAATTTGTTGTTGGTGGCCTTATGTGGCCTGTGCAACGTCTGGGCTCACATTAGCCTCAAGAACTTGTTTTAAAAGATTGTCGATGGTAGTATCGTCCAGAATTTCCGATTTTTCTCCCAGGTCTATTTCCGGTACAAGAACTCTTAACAGTTTGCACACATTATCGCGAAGATTTCTGAGCTGTTGCGCAGATTGTGCCAGCGTTATCCACTGTTGTTCTTTGTTCAGTTTACTGAGCTTGACGATCAAGTCATTATCGACGCCTTCTACAGCCGCTCCGTCACTGTCGGGTAGTCCCTCTGTAGGCTTTTCCTCAGAAGGAGGGGCCGGGGGTGGAGAGTCGATTAAAATAATTTCCTCTGCGCGTGGTTTCTTCGGCACTGGTTGTTCGATGACGTCATCGTCACTGTCATGCGCTCTCTTATTCCCTTTCACCAAAGGGCTGAAAACACATTTCACGACTTAATCAACTACTGATCAGAATCAAATGTAAAAGGAAAAACAAGAATTGACGGGGGTAAAAACAAATATTCAAATTTATCCGTAGGATTTTAAATGCAATGCGTTAGTCCCTAATAAAGTCTGTTACACGTTGGAGGTTGAATCAATTTAATCGACTTTAAGAAGTCGTCGACATTTTCCCACTTGTTCGTTTTTTAAGAATTATCTTTTCTGATTTGTGGAAACCAAAGGTACGGGTTCGATTCCTCATTGGTATTCAGAATTCTTTCTTTGTCTTACACTCATGACAAGACGTAAAAACACAATTCTTTATTTTCTCTTTAATGTTTAGGTTATTAATTTAATGAGACGAGCACATTGGATAGGTCGGCACGTCCAGTTGAACTTTTCCGTTTTTTAATCCTACAATCTAGGCGGTTTCTCCTGTTCATCTACAATAGAAATAGAGAGGATAAGAAATGATCTGTCTTACCTGTCGGCTTTCTCAGTTTTTACTTCCAAAGTAAGACCTGTAAATGCACCTACTGCTGGGGTTCCAGAATGCACCTGAGATATCTGAATACCAGGCCCTGATGACATGGGGCTAACAGGGACTGCTGGTTTTGGTTCCTGTTTAATTTGGACCTACCGACAGAAATAGAAGAAATAATAATAATATTAATAATAATTAAAACATTCAAGTAACGTTATAAATAAAATTACGGTACAAGAAAAACAACAACATCGACAGCAGCAGCAGAAACCAATCCAGTACCTGCAATACTTGATTGGCAGTTGACGCAACAGATTGAGCACCAATTTTGACTGTGGGTTTAACAGTTGGTGTCTGGACAGGCTGAGCTACCGCGCCAGCTGCAGCAGAGGACACTGGTACAGACGCTACCTGTGTCTGTGGCGAGGGTGCAATGTACCGAAATCTGTCTTGCATTGTCACGTGATTTCTGAGTTCAGTAGGTGACTGTTTTGTCGGGGGATTGACCTCAGGGATTACAGCAGACACTGGCGATACCACTGAGGCTTGTGTTGCTTGTCTGTTCACTTCCTGTAATGACTCTAAAGGTTTGTAGCTAGTTGATATGGCTGGTGATTTTAGGGGAGTACTGCTTTGCTGAGGAACCTGGTTATGTGATACTGGTGTTGTCTGAAGGGTGACTACGCCTGTACCCTGTTGCTGCTTTGGAGGTTGCGACGGTTGAATAGGCAACGCCCTCACCTGGAATGAAGTTGGCGTGCTTGACTGGGAGATGGGTGTGGTCAGGTGAACTTTATGCCCTGATGAGAGCACCATATTCTGAACAGCAACCTTCTGCTGTCCTGTTGACTGCCCTTGACTGACTTGTTGCTGTAACGACTGTACAGATACAACCTTTGGGGTCTGCTGTTCAACTTGTCCTTGAGGATTTGGCACAATTTGCACCAATGGCTTTGAAACAGTTTGTGACTGGTTGGAAGGAACAGACGAGAAAACTTTGACAACCTTGACAGACGCCTGTTGCTGTTGTTGGTTTACATTTCGTCTTAAAATCAATGGTGGCTTGGGAGCATTAGACACCCGAATATTACCAGACACGACCTGAGTGTGAGGTTGCCCTGAAGATGACTGCAAAGAAAAGAAATCATGCTTAACACTCAGAGACTTCAAATATTTCACACCTACAGCTAATGCATCTGAATCTGTACCCCTGATTTCCACCACCCATGACGGGCAAAAACAGGGAATTTGAAGTGACTTTTAGATATTCATCTCGCCTTGAAACATAGTAACTTTCTGCCTTACCCTACGAACAGCTTGAAATTTTTCATTAAGTCCGAAACGATTGATACAATACACATTTCTCAGCCAATGTCACAGTTAAGAGTATGGAACAGATCCTTGAGTTTTAAAGTCCATAGTATAACATTATTCCCAAGGTAATGACCACAATCAAGTATAACACATGAAAATCGGTCTCTAGATAATGATAACATCAATTATCACTCCAATTCTAAGAAATGCAGGCATCAAAGAACAACATATATGACTATTACTTAAGAATAGTCATGGCAAACAAACATACCTTCAGATTGTCTGAAGGTGATTGAATCAGCTATTTGGGAACAGAAAAAATTAAAACACTTTGATGAGAAAGGAGCATTGAAAGACAAATGGATGACCTAAGAGTAATCTTTTTCAGCTTTGTTGTGTCAAACTTATCATTATGTGGTAATTTGGATGAAATACTGACAGTACAATCGGTGGGGGAAGGTATGGCATGGTTATCAACCTGAGGATCACCATCAGGTACTATATCAAAAATTAGTACGAGGGTTTCATCAGGGTTTTCAAATGCGAGAAAACTGCGGCCTTGTGCCTTTACTGTTTTCGAGTATTTGGAAACCCTGATGAAACCTGATGCACAAGTTTTGGAAATATCTTCTCAATCGCACCTCAGGGATAAAAGAAAATGGAAATAGTCACAAATGTTTCACATGTCGGTAAGTTTGTGGTTGTTATTCAAATTAAGAAATGAGTTCAATAGACTTTGATGCTTTATCAAACTCAAGGGTTTGATATTATATGAAACTCATGGATAGCGCACCATTCCAGTGTTTCACTGGGGTTTAAAACCACATGCACGTCACGAAATTGGCGTGTCTTGGTTATGAGTTTGAGAAAGTTACGTGAAAAGTTGTATGTTAGGCAATTTCAATTAATAGGTCAGTTTTGTTATTATTTAAGTGGCTGGATACTCAAACATACTCCTCTACCAATTTCTATATTTTAATACCCTTGAAAATAGGTCTTTGACAGTTATTTAAGTTAGGTTGTGAATAACAATGATATTGGTAGGGTGTCACAACATTTACTGAGAGTCAACACTTTTTGCCTGACAGTGTCCACATGTACATTATCCAGCTTTATTTCTGAGTCCAGCAACCAAACTTGCCTTTATCCTCAGTGGCTGAGGTGACTTTTGCTCTCCTTTTACCTGCTATAAAACAGAATGATACAACTGATTTTGATCATCAGCTTAAGTGTTTAGCATTTAACTTGCTATTTGGGAAAATCAGACTTAAGCAAGCAATGCTGTTTACATATGGCTTGCTTTATCGTGTGGAGAACCAGGTACACATGATATGTGTACCTGCCCACCAATTTTATTCAATAAAGAAAAAAGTATTTGTCGTTATTACAAGAAGAGGTTGATACAAAAGACAAGTGTGTGTGTTACATTTGCCCAATTTGAAAAATATTCTCAAATACTCTTGAAACTTTATCACTCAAAAATTAATTAAGTGATTGACAGCCACCACGGATCTGTTGCCAGTTTGATACACCTAACACTTCATTCTCTCAGAATGAACTTCTACAAAACACTCAAAGTAGGAAATCAATGTGCATATCACTTTGCCTAACCTGTCTGATGGCTTGCTGTTGTCTTGCGCTATTCTTTTCAATCGTTTGCATGATTGATGGTTCCTGTGCTGACTCCATTTCAGAGAGCTGTTGTCTCAACCTGGTGGTAAAAAATAGCAATAAAAAAGGAATATCAATTAAGTAATTGCTTCACCCCCCTCAAAAAAATAAAATAAAAACAAAATAAAAACAAAAACAAAAAAACAATTTTCCACTGTTGCAAAATGTAGATTTATTAGCAGAATTGACTACGCATTTTACACAAACTGAAATATTCAAATAATTTATCAGGTATATGCTGGGCAAAAAGAACAGAGGAATAAGTGAGTTAAATGCTTATCCTAAAACCTTGATTACCATGTTAAATAGTTTCTTTTTTTTTTTTTTGTAATAAATATAAAATATTTTGTAGCGAACACTGATTTCATCACTGTAGTTTCAAGTGCAAACTTGCATCAGGCTAACACTTCTACGATTCCTGAAATAAGTTCATTTGAAACGTTATGTTCATTTCTCGTTCCTGCATCACCTCATTACATCTCCAAAAATATATATTAGTTTATGTACACACTGTCCAGAAAAATTCACAAACCTTTGCAGCTCAGCCTCTTTTCTCTCCAGAGTCTTTTGTTGTATTTCTGCCTTTCTTGCCTAAGAAGAAATTTTCAGTTGTTAATTGTGCACAAGTCATTAACCAGCATCACACAAAGTTGTTGTAAGGTTCTCAGTATCCCAATCATTAAAAAAAACATGCAATCATAAAGTTGTAAAATGAAACACTTCACAAAGGAATTGACTTCATAGAGTATTAATAGCAATCTTCTTGCAAAATTCCTAAAGTAAATTAAGTTGCTCACCTCTTCAGCCTTTTTTTCCTGTTGAAATGAAAAACAAAAAAAAAATAGATTTTACATCATGTAACAATTTAGCATCAATAACCCACCCCCAATTTGGAGCCCACCCTGCAAATGCCTGTTACCTGGTGGTTTATTTAATGGGTGTTACAGGACAAGTTTATTTATCAAAGAAAAAGGAATCACTTGCATCCATTCAACTCTCTCGAAGGGTTAAAAACCACTACAGGCAAAATAACTGCAACAACAACGTCTGGGGTGAACAGGCAAGGGTTCCCAAATAGACCCTTCCATTTATTACATTGCCCAAGGGGGGTACAACCTAATCCCAGATGACAAGAAAACTAAGAAAACTACTAGGAAAAACTAAACAGACGAAATCAATTGTTTAACTGCCAGCATTATGTCTTTAACTGGAATATGAATGTAGGATCTAGAAGCATCAGATTACCAATCTCCTAATTGTTCAATAAGCTCAGCAGGAATTTGGACTTGAAAGGCCAGAGTGGCCCCACTGACTTGAGATGGGTCCAAGTTGATTTTGGCCGCCAATAGTTTAAGCAGAGAGTCAAGCTTTCCATGTGTTAGAGGAGTCAGGCTTCTTGGTGCTGGGACGACAAAGGCTGGACCTGATTAAGGGGCAGGAACTAAATTGAAGGCATGCTTAAGAGCTGTGTAGGGGCAGAGTGGGTGCTGGGCGATGCGAAGTAGGGGAATTGTCAGAATGCATTAGCTAAATTGGATTGTTTTCGACCATCTGGTGATAACAATGGCCCAGTCAGCAAAGAAGACGATGTCGCCTCAACGCAGGTGCTTTGATGGGTTGAAATGAGTTGAACCTCTACACACTAGGTTGGCTTTTCGTAAGAGGCCAAAGAACGCTACCAAACAAATTGCCCAGAAAGTTCCATGCCAGGGATTCTCCAAGTTTAACTAGTTCCTGAGGGCTAAAAGGATTTGGGGAGTAACTGATTTCTTTCGAGACACTGTCAAACCTTTGTCATGTTTAATTCTTCAAATTGTAGTTGCTAAGTGAAAGTTGTTTTTGGTTGGGTCAGTAGGGCCATGCTCAAGATGTAGGATGCGGACTGCATTGAAGTAGGCTGGTATCGAGGATGCTGAAAGTGACCTTGCCAGGAAAGCTGCATACCGATTAAGGATTAAGTCTGCTGCAGGGAGAGGTTGGTAGCCATAATATACACAAAAGGAGAGGCATGAACGCAGTGGGCTCATATAGGTAGACTTGGTAGTGGGAGCATATGCTTGGTGACGGCAGTAGGCAACTTCACGGTCCAAACATGCACATCCTTTGGATCTAAGGAGTGCAAGAGATAATGGTGACATGTGGGATTTTAAATCCTGTGATGTAGGGGACTGAGATAGCCATGCTTGGAACTCTGGCCAGTGACACACATCATCAAGGCGTGAGATACTATCTGCTAAGGTATTAGTCGATCCTGGAATGTGGTCAATGAATAAGCTGAAGCTGAAGTATTCCTTAAGCCAAAATAGGGAACGAATCCAGGCCATGATGAGTGGACAGTGGGATGAGCCTTTGTTTAGAATAGCAGCAGCCACCTGGCTGTCGGACTTGATAACTACATGGTAACCTGACCAGAGAGGTGCCCAACAGTGTGCTGCTAAAACAATTGTTGATGTGGAGAGGGTAGAGAGCAGGGTTGTCCAAGGCCCTGTTAACATACATCCAGTCAGTGTCCCACATGCACCCCCCACCACATGAGGCGTCAGTAAGCACAGGTGTAGGGAACTCTGGGGTCACTGAGGGGAACAAGGTTTTACAGTTATGTGTGGGTAGGAGGGAGATCCACCAGAGAAGGTCAGCTCTTGCATTCAGGTTCAAATAGATGCGATGATATGAACGTTTAGCAGAGTTTGCTAATGTGATAAGTCGCCTTAGAAAAATGCAGCCTCCTCTGACAACATGTGCCACCCAGTTAAGCTTCCTAAGAAGTTGTTGAAGGTGCAGTTTGGAGCATTTACGTTTCAAGGTTGTCTCCTTGCAAAGGGACAGTAACTCAGACACATGATCAGCTGGAAGGCAAAGCTCGCACTTACCAGTATCGATTTCAACCCCGACAAATGTCAGGCATTGGGTAGAATAAACAAGTTTGGTCCAGTTAATGGTAAAGCCAAGAGACTCCAGTGAGCTTAGTAGCATATCAAAGGTGGCCTTGAAGTGAAGCTGAGTCGGTTCAATAATAAGGAAGTCATCCAGGTAGGCCAGTACAGTATACCCCCTGTTGGCCATCCTACGACAGGCCGCTTGTGTTAGACGATGGAGGGGAGAGGGTGGTTGTGACAGTGAAGCTACCTGGTCTATGAAATGTTTGATGAGAGATGAATTGGCTCAGTTCCCCATTTACAGTTTGTGGCAAACTGCATTCGACGGTACAAATCATCGTACTGCATCACTTTTGGCAGGGGATAGCATTTGGCAAGTTCAGAAATCTTTGAACTGTGTAATGTATAATCACAGTATCCTGGGTGGAAGATAGGAGGCCATCTTTCATGAGAATATACATACCGGTAATACAAAAGTTAGCCACTGACCACGAGGGAATGAAATTTTGTCAAGTGAGGGCTTCTTTTCTTGAGAGGATTTCAAGATGATTTTTGCATCACCTGAGGTTCCAAGCACAGTCTCCCTATCCTCTTGTAGAACTATGGGGAGGGAACAAATGAAATCAGGGATAAGTAATGGGCGTTTACCTCTAGAAGTAGGTTCCAACAGCTGACGTGCCAGATCTTGTTCTTCTTCAGTCAGGCCTACTAAAACTGGGTCTCCCAATGAGTCCATAAGGGATTTTAGTTCAAACTGTACGTTGGGATCTTGATGTAGGTCTTTCAAGGTTGGTTTTGTGGTTAGGTTATCATCAGGCTTTGTTGATTTTTCTGCCGCTACCATTGTGGGGCAGCTGTTCAGTGCTGAATCTCTTTGTAACTTTAACAGCTCGAGTTTGGTACGAGTGAGATCTAGTTCAAGTTGTAAGTTGTGGTTTCGGAGATCTGCGATCGTTCTGTCTTGTTCTACCACAGGCTGCTCGACTTTACGATTTGTCAGGGAAAGATCTTGGATCGACTCAACCTGACTCAGTTCGCATTTGACTACTTCACTTATTTGCAGAGGTGTTGCTGGTTCTGCCAGTGAGTTGTCCATTTTGTAATCTGTAAGTTTTGTCGGAGGCTTAGTTTTCCTGCTGCTCTTTCTAGGTCCCATGGTGCAGATATAAATAACACATACTATTCTAAAGAGAGATGAACGAAGCTAGGTTGTGTTAAAGCACATGTCAGACAAGCTGTGTACAGCGCATGTCAGCAAACTCGCCCCAAGTCTCACTGGAGTTAAATACAAATAATAGCTGTTATTTTTTACTTGGAAAAACCTACTACTTAGCCTTTTGGAATGCAAATAAAATTATTTAGGGCTGACCTTCTCCTTACGCTTTTTATCCTCCATCTCTTTTTCCCTATGGACAGAGAACACAAGAGATGTAGTGTTCTGAAAATATAGTAAAAGTACTTGTACCTATGTTAGTAAAGTTACTTAGGACAACTGAATGATGCGAAAGCACTGTAATCAAGTAACATGATTTTACCAGCTTATAAGATACTTGATCAATGAATAGAGACAATATAGAAAGCAATTAGAGTGTGAGTATCTCCTCTAAATTAAGACACAATAGCAGAATTATCAAGAATTGAAAAACATCTGTTGTCATCCAGTCTTAAATGTAGTCAGGATTGGAGGGAATATAAGATAATTAAAGGGGTTAGACGATGTAAAAATAAAACTCTTCAATATATTAATCAACATGCACTGGAGAAGTTGATGTAAAAAAGGGATAACCTTGATGTTTGTCTGCATTGGAGTGATGACCAATCCATATAAAATATCTAGAACACTACTAACAGTGATCAGAGATTTCATCCTGATCACATTTCCCAAGGAAGAACTACATGATGGGCAAATTTACTTACAAGCGCTTCTTTTGTGTCTTGACATAAGCCTGTTCAACTTCATCTTCCTTCTCCTCCGGGATGCTACAAGATCTGATTTTAGGGTTTGGGTTGTCTTTACAATACCACTTGTCAGGAAGTTTAGCAAGGTCTGTTCCATGAGGCAGTTTGCGCCACTTAAGGCAATCATCACATTGAACCCAGCTTTGGTCAGGAAGTTGTCTGGAAAAACAAAAACATTTTCTTCTTAACTCACTAAGTTCGACCTTCTTCAAGATCTGATGGTTAATTCTAAAAACTAGTGACCATCATGCTTCTCCTTGTTGGCTAGTTTGACGCATCAAGGCCCAGTTGTTCAAAGGCTGATTAGTGATAACCCAGGGTTAAATTTTAATCCAATTTTTTTTATTCCTTAAAATTTCAAATGCAGTTTTTGGATAACTTTCTTGATTCTTTTTGGAGCATCCAGTCATCAAACTGTAGACAAAAAGGATTAATGAATTTTCTTTTAAAGCTTTTAGATCTGAAATCAGATTTCACACTAACTCTGAGTTATCTTAACCCACCTTTGAACAACTCAGCCATGTTGTATAAACCAAACATTATCTCTTACTTGTTAAGTTGGTTCCCCACACATATCGAGCTGACATTATGTTTAAATTGTTTACAGAATTTAAACAATGATAACTTCATGGAATCAGTCCCTCAAAAATATCAATTTACAATGACAACCACCATGTTGAGGCTTTGAACTATCCATGAGAAATTCAAGTCCATTGTGAGAGAATTAAATGTATGAGTTCTGGGTAAAAAAGTTTGGAGACAAACCAATTGGGCTAACTAAGCCTGAAAGGATAAGAGAAACTAATCTATAAAATTCTCAGAATAAAGTTATGTCTTACTGGACTTCAACAGGCTCTGGAATGGGTTCCTTGCTGTTGGCACGTTGAGGACCTTTTTTCTCATTCCTTCAATGAGAGATTGAAAATACCATACTTAAAACCTTCAACAATAATCTGTGATTGCATGTAATCAATAGTTTGTTCTTCCTGGAAGTATGTATACCAACCCCTTTGAGATTGTTAAAAATCATTTGACTGGGCTGGACTGGAAATTATTTGACCAAGAGCCAAACCTTATTTTGTTAGGCCCACCCTAGCTCAGGCAATAACCTCCCCATCATATGACAGATGTTTCCCTCTTTCAATCCTTTCTTCTTTCAGCTTGTCTCTCACGGGGCTGCTTTTTCCAGCCTTTCTTGCATAGGGCCCCCTTAACACTAAATTTTCTACTACAATAATGTTAATAGAAAGTATTCAACAGCAATTACTAATTACCAGTAGTCATTGAGCTTGGACCCCAAAGCTGCTATTGTGGCTCTATAGATGAAAAAAAACAAGAATCACATAAGTCTTCAGAATTACTGTTTAGATGAAGTAGGTTTCAAACTTAAAAACAGTGATGGAAACAATTCACAATTTTAACATTCCTATTACTGTCTCAAGTTTATCATTATAACCAATTATCAATATACATTGTTATTTTCAACTTGCTACAGAAGGAAAATATGCAAACTAAGATAAATAAGTATAGACTTCAATTCTATTTCACACTTCCTTCTGTAATCAGCATCTACTTTTAGTTAACCCTGACTCATAAGGTCAGGGAAAACTTATGGACAAGTTGATGTAACCAATGTCTCACTGACCACTTGATCAGCAGGGATTTGCTAAAGCAAAGGCATAGAAAAAACCAGGAAAGATTTATTACTCGACGTTTCGGGGTCATCGTGACTCCATTATCAAGAGACTAGTTTAAAAACATGCAAATAAGGAAAGGTACAAGAATAGCATAAATTAGACTGAACGGCTTAAACAAACACCTTGGCGCGGATGGAATCCGTTTGCACGTTCAGTGTTGGCTTACGCATGCGAATATACAACATTTCATTAACAAGGCAATCAAATTTGCCGTTACATTTCGTGATGACGTTGAATTGCTCGATCAAGCGTTCAGGCATTTCACTATTGTGCTGGAGGTGGTAGTGTTTGTAGATAGAAGATGATTTCCTTGTGTGCCCTTCTACGCGCTCGTGTAAGTGACCACGAGTATAGCCCACATACCCTGCATCACACAGGTTACATTTAAATTCATAAACGACACATTGTTGGTTAACAATAGGGGGCTTAATTTCGTGTTGCTTAAGCTGTTGATCGAGCTTAGGGCTAACGAACACTGGTTGGACAGTCACGCTTAACTTCGAGCTTAGACTGTTCAGTTGTTGTTTAACATGATTAGCTGACGACTGGTCCTTGAAGGGTAACACTAATCTCACAGTCTCCGATGGTACGTCTGGTGATGGACAGGGTTCTGCAGATGAAATCCTTCTCTCAACGAACCGCTTGATTGTAGTTTCAACCAGTGGCTTTGGGTATTTCAAGTTATGAAAAACCCCTCTAAGGCGGTCACATTCCTCGGAGAAGAAAGACCAGTTAGAAGATAATCGATAAGCGCGATCCACCATGGTGTTAACTAGGCTGCGCTTGTACTTAATGTCAACATGACTCTGGAAATGCAGAAGGAGACCCGTGTTGGTTCTTTTGATGTAGACCTT